CTTCTAATATTTCCTTGTATTGCTTCAAATCTTCCAAATTCTGAGGCCTAAAACCACTTCAGCTCACAGGGCTTAACATCCTCAATCCATCCCCTCAGATGAAGAAAGCTGCATCTAATGGACTTCTGTTTGTACCCATCCCTTGGATTTGCTGTCCTGGATTTGGAAGAGCTGTTCTCTTAAAGAGTTTTCTCTGTGCTCTTTAGACATGTTGATTACCATATCTTTCCAGTCCAGAAGGATTTTGCAGAATATACTGCAATCAAGCTCTTGTATTACCTAAAGCTGGAACAATTGTAGAAAAAGTTACTACCTGAAAAAATCTTGAGACACCTGTCTTAATTTTCCCGAAGCAAGAAAACCTTTCTCAACTGATGTTTGCATACATATGCACCTAAATTCACATATGTGAGCACCTATACTTACCCAATAAATCCCAGTGACATTATTAAGACTCACAGTGCAACTACAGACAAGAATGACATAGAGCAATTCCTAGTTGCCATCAAAAATTAATTAGACTAGTATTCCATGCAGTAAATATCTTTGTATAGAATGACATTTAAACTCTGCATGGGGCTTAAAAGTGGTAACCAACCAATCACCTTCTGAAAATTCCATTAGCAGAAAGCAAATAAGATGTTCTAAAATTAATGAATCCGTCAGCCGAGGTGAAACCTTTCAAAAACCTATCATGTCAAAGAGCAATTAATTGGACCTTTTTCACGATTTAACTCATTGCTGATGAATGCCTAAAGAATTTTAATTAGAATAAAGTAGTGGAAGGTCTAGTGTCAAGAAAGAGTGAACTCAGGAGTAGAATTAAGTTCTCATCCTGACTTGGTCACAAATGTGCTGTGTCACATAGAATAAATCAGGCTCCCTCTCTGTTCCTGATTTGTTCATTGTAATATGGAATTAATTAATTAACATCTGGCATGCCTAACATACAGGGTAGTTTTGAGGATATAATGAAAATGTTGGATGGTATTCGGATTTTAGACAAATGTGTACGTAAAGGGAAAATTGGGATTCTCAGCATTTAGATGATTTACAGGGTTAGCAGGAACAATAGTCCTTCTCTAGAAATAAAGATTGATGGTTTTGTATTTTGAGTAAGTAAAGACAATCTGATAACTCCACTGAACACATTCTTTTTCTTAGTGTCCATTAGGTTAATGTAGCTTAACAAGTAATCATACATGGCTGTTGGTCACAGAATTTCCCTGTTGTATTCAATCTCCTCAATGTCTGATTTTCTGGTCTTCTAAATGTCAAGTCCATCCCAATGGTAAATTGAACATCTTAGAAAAAATATTTCTTGTGTCATGGTGCAGAAGTTAATAGCCTTGCAGCAAAGGCCAATGCTTTATTTCTTTTTTATAGAAAAACAACATCTTTTCCCTCCACAAAATGTGGGTAATAATGATTAAAAGCATGGCTTTGATGTTTGGGTTTTAATCCCCATTCTGTTACTTTTGGGAAACCATAACCAAATTATTTAACCTCTCCAAAGTTTTGTTTTCTTATGTGAAAAATGAAGGAAAGCATAGCTCTTTCATAGTGATGATCTGAATATTACATGTGATAATTTATGTAGAACTCTTAGCACAATGCCAGGCACAGTATTAATGCTGAAAAAAAGGTAGTTATAATTAGATGAATTGCTGCACAAATTAGTCTGGCAGTTCTCTGATAACACTGAATTTATGAGTAAAGTGGTCTCCTAAATTAACAACATCTGAATACTGTTTTAAAATAAATATTATTTCATTGCATTTAAGGATATGTAGAGAATGAAGCCTGGACAAGCACTGCTCACTCGATGTCCTCGAGAGAACATTGTTAAAGGTTAAAGAATAGATCAGAATAGTTGCAACTAATAGCTAAGCTATGAAATGATTCAGAGAAGTCACTTTTCTGAAACCTCCATCTGTAGACCATAGTTATGCATTTACGCCATACCATTGAAAATTATTGGATATCTATTATGGCACTACCAGACACAGAAGATAAAATTGTTAGCTGCCACTGATTATGTGATTAAATGTGCTAAGCACCATGCTTAAGGATATTCATGCATTATTTTAATTCCCACCAAAACCCCATGAGATGGGTCTGTCTTCTCTGAGAGCCTAAACAGGTAAGCACTATGTCTCACTGATTTCCCTTCCACTAGCCCATTATCTGGGCTGGAAACATAAACTGGAATGAGTATCTTGAGGCCCAAGGAAAAATCTTGGGTAGGATAGAGCACCACAACCCTAATGCATCCATATTCTCTCAAACCTAGAAATCCTACTGGGAATCCCAAACTCATGCTTTCCCCTACTCCATACACCCAAGGTTCCCTACTCTGGTTGAGTCACCTAATTCCAAGTGCTTCCTGAAGGCTGGGACTGGTACTTCTCACCATATCCTGAGAGCATTGTCCATGTGAATTTTTCTTAGGAGTGTTTCTCTCTCTCACATTCTCAGTTGTTTTAGATCAATCCCAGATTTGAGACATGCCATTCCTTTTCTGCCTACAACTTAGTTTGGGGTTCCTGGTTATTTTACCCTCCTTACCTAGAAGTCCATCTCCATGTAATTCTCCGGTTGGTGTCTCCATATTGCTTCTGCCCCAACTCTTGATCCTTCCTTGGATTACAATGGAATCTTATTCATGTTTTCTTTTTCTCCCTTAAGCAACTAAAATTGATCTATGAAACATAAAGAGGAGGGATGAGGTGTGAAAAAAGGAAAGCCTTGAGTGTCATGCATTGTGCTTTGAGTAGTACTTTTTATGAAATTCCTTTCCTCTTTAAACTCCCTTCAGACGATGAAACGTGAGGCACAAGGAGCAAAACTTTTCTTTACTCCAAGTTCTTAACTCTAGTTAATCCACAAGATCACCTACCTTGAGGGATTTTAGATTATGTTTTCCTTCTGCTTTTGATCTTTCTTTTCTTTTAGTAAACTGGTCTCTAAAAATAAACTTTCAGAACATTCTCCTCCATAGAATATGTTTCTGCATTGACCTGTGGTCCCTATTCTGCTTTGTTGTAATCCAAAGTGCCCTCTTTACTGGGTTCACATTAACCCCTAGAACAAAGAAGAATTAGAAACAGATAGCACCATCAAGTTTTACTAATTTTTGAAAGACTTTGTGAAAGAATGCGTCTTTCTAGTGATCAGATTTTCCCCTAGTAATTTTTCACATATATGCCAGTCTATGTTATGTCCTTTAAGCACAGTGTTCTTTCTTCTAAAGTCCCTTAAATTCTGAGCTTACAGAACTTAACAAATTATTGCATTTTGAATAAAACTATTTAATTTAAAATACTATGTGATAATTCTTTATATTAAATTAATGCAAATATGCATGGTCAGCTCAGTGATGTTTGTCTTCATTTTGGAAAGAAGTTGTTTCTAATAGCTGATACTAAACAATAGAGTGAAAATTCTCTCTGGTGGCTCCATTTCCAGACTGGTATCATGCTAGTGTACTTCTCACAAAGCTTGCTCACAAATGATTCCTCTGATGGCATAAGATGTGAAGATGGCCTTCCTAAAGGTTATCTGAGATTTTAATATGGGAACAATAACTGTATTTTCCAGAGTATCTCTTGCCCCATACTCATGATATTCCAGCATCCTATCCAACAAAAGAATTGAAGAATGTCCCCCAGAGAGCTCTTTGTCCAACACCCTCCTTGGAAAATTTAGAAACACAGATCTAAGGAGGGGAAGATAAAGACATCTACTCAAAATAACACTTTAATGGAAGAAATCAAAGAAAGTCTTCTAAACCATAAAATAAAGCATTGTGAAATTAAATGCAGTTGCTATAATTGTCAAAATAATTATGAATTAATATTTTAATTTATTCAATAAACATTACTGAATGTTTAATGTTTTTGGTGCTGGGGAATATAAACTCATGCTTGACCAATAGAATATGGTAGAAATGGTCAATTGGCATTTCTCAACCTAATCTAAGAGAACTGACAGCTTCTGCTTTGCCCTCTGGGAGCTCTGGCCAACAATAAAGTAAGTCCTAGTATCCTGAAACTTCCATGCTATAAGAAGTCCAAGCCACGCAGAAAGACCCTGTGTTGACACTGTAGTTAACAGCCCCTGACTGAGCTCTCGACCAACAGTCAGCTTCGATTATCACCCATCTGTGTGATCACGCTTGAGGTCCAGGCCATATGATCCTTCATATGACTTCAGCTCCAGTCATTATCTGCAGGAGAAAGTCCAAGGGGGAACTGCATAAGTAAACCCAATTAACTCACAGATTCTTAAGAAAAAATAGTAAGTTGCTTAAGCCACTAACTTTGGGATAGTTGCTGTTCAGTAAGAGGTAATCACAAGAGTGGGTAATGAAGAAATAGTTTAAAGATTTTAAACAAGAGGATAATGATAAATTCAGTTTATAACTGAACATGTTGGCTAGTTAGGGCCCTAAGATTCTTTAGACAGTAGGAGATAAATACTCTTTCTACTAGTCTCACCCACCATACATCCAAGTTTAGTTGGAGTTTGAAGGCTGTTGGATGGAATTGAGTGAAATTCCTCCTCTCATGTACAAATTGTACATGTTACATAGATTCAGAAGAGTCTCCTAAGAAAAAAAGTACCAGGCCCCTTACATATGATTTTCGGCTTGTGGCTGATAAAATATCAGATTCCAGCTCTACTAATAGGCTATTAAGGTAGCACCCAATGATTCCTCATTCTGAGTATTTATGCTCTTGTGTAATTCCATACCATATTGGAGAGGGGTGACCCACTGAATCAATAAGATATTGCAGAAATGACCTTGTGCAATGTCTGAAGCTGTTTTAAATGACATTGAAGCTTTTGCTTTGTTCTTCCTTGGGTCACTCATGCTGGAGGAAGCCATTTACCATGCTGTAAGGATACTCTTAAAGCCTTATAGAAAGATCCATTTGGCAAGGAAATGAGCCCTCCTGCCAGTGGCCACCACAAATTTAGCATGTTAGTGGAGTCATCTTGGAAGTGGGTATTTCAACCCTAGTGAAGCCTTCAAATGACTGTAGACTGGCCAATATCTTAATGAACCTTTATCTGAAGTTCAACAGTTGTTTTAGATTGATGTCTATGAGTTAACTCTACTAATTTAAAGACCATTAGAAATTATTTCTAGTCTTCCTACATTATTTAGTTCAATTGAAATGAAGTATTTTTTCTCTAATTTCTATAATCATAAATTTTATATGTAGAAGACAGTGTATATAATATGCATATGATTAAAAGAATATTTCTTAAAGTTCAAGTACATTTAAAATATATAAATATATATCTACTGATTTAAAATATATATAACTACTATTTAAAATATATATAACTACTCATATATTTTAATCTTCCTGTATCCATATCCTACTAATTTTCTTCTCCCTTGATTCAAATGTAACAATTTGGAATTCTGAATTTATCATTCTCCTACTTAGTATATCTTTATTAGTATATATATATATATACCTAAATGATATATTATTGTCTTCTTTTGTTTTTGGCCTTGTAAAAAATGAAATTATACATTATATAATCTTCTATGTTATATTTTGATCTTTTCCCTCAACATTGTATCTTTGAGACTAACCATAGTGATACTTGTAACTGTGATTCCCTCATTTTTACTGCTGTAATATATTATTTTTCTTATTCATACCACAAAATGTCCAACTCTGTTAATGGACATTTGGCTTGTTTTTTGGTTTTTTTGCTATTGTAAATAAGGATGCCACAAACATTCCTTCGTTTTACCACTTGGCATACTTGGCATATTAAAGCTGTATATTCCTAGGAGTGGAATGATTAATTAATAGAGTATAAGACAATGCCAGTTTTCCTAAGAGGTTTTATCAATTTACATCACCATCTGGCAAAAATAAAGAGGACTTATTGCTTCAAATCCTCACCGAAATTTTGGGAAACAAAACTTTCTTTTTTGGCAATCTGGCAGACATATTAAGTTTTATTTTATTTTAATTTGAATGTCATTCATTGCTAATGAAGTTGACATAGTGTCATATATGTATTGTTTACTTTGTTTCTTCTAGTGAAATCCATGTTCATGTTTTGTCACTTTTCCAATTAATGGATTATTCTTGTTCTTGTTGATTTTTAGTGTTTTAACATACTCTAGATATCATTTGTGTCAATTATGTATCTAATTCATTCTTTCTCATTTGTGTTTATACATTTACTTTTATTTTGTATTTTATTTTAACGTGGTCACATTTAGCAATATTTAATAATGTGTGCCTTTTGTGTTAAGGAATATATTCAAAACCAAAAGTCAAAAATAGAGTTTTTTAATTATTTCCTCTAAAATTTAAAATTTTTGGTTTTCATATTTAAGTGATCAATCCTCTTGATTTTTTTTCTTGGAATGAGGGGCGCGGGGTTGTTGTTTTATTTTCATGTTTTAAGGGATAGATTCCAATACTTTTTTTTCATATGGATACCCAATAAACTGAAATCATTTAGCCCATCCTCTGCTACTAATCAGCAATGATCTATTTATATTTCCAGTTTTCATTTATCATAATTGTATTTCTAGGTCTTCTCTTCTATTTCTGGTCAAATTTGCTATCCTCACATAATACTTTATAGTAAAAAGTCCTCCTGTATGGATAAACAAATTTAATTTTTTGATGTTTATTTATTCTTGAGAGAAAGAGAGAGCATGAGTGGGGGTCGCCTGTTTTCCCTCTTTTTTTTATAATACTTTATCAAATTACCAGGAATATCCTGTTATTATTATAATTGTAATTCCATTAATCAATACAGATAGACAAAGCATCTTTAGGGTATTGATTCTCTCTCTTTATAAACATGATAGATTCCTCCATATATTTAGGTCTTCTTCACTGATTTCTATTGGATATATTTCTTGGTAGGATATCTTTCTTAAAATTATCTTTTCTAACTTTTCTAACTCTGTTACTGGAATTCAGTTCAAATGGAAATTATATGTTGATTTCTTTCTTGCTTGATAAATTCTCTCATTGATTCTAACAATTTGGAGATTTTTGGTGGTTTTCTATGGAGAAAATATATGTACACATAGAAACAATTCCCTTTGTTTTCCCGCATGTTTAAATATTCCTTATCCTTTCTAAGTGTACTTTTTTAATGTTTATTTATTTATTTTGAGAGAGAGAGAGAGAGAACATAGAGGGGAGGGGTTGATTGAGAGGGAGAGAGAAAACCACACTCAGGCTCTGTGCTGTCAGTGCACAGCCCAAAGCACGGCTCAAATCCATGAGATCATGACCTGAGCCGAAATTAAGAGTTACATGTTCAACCGTTCAACTAGCTGAGCCACCCAGGTCCCCCCGAAGGGTACTTTTTATAATGTGGTATTGTTGAATATAATCAGGGAATATAGAATTTTTTTTCTCCTAATTTTTAAGAAAATGGTTTCAATGGCTTATTTTTGAATTTCCATAGGTTTCTTTCTCATGTTAAGGAATTACCATCTATCCCTTCTTTATTAAGAATTTTTATACCAGGGACACCTGGGTGGCTCAGTCAGTAAAGTGTCCGACTTCTGCTCAGGCCATGATCTGGCAGTTTGGGGTTCCAGCCCCAGGTTGGGCTCTGTGCTGACAGCTCAGAGCCTGGAGCCTGATTCTGATCCTGTGTCTCCCTCTCTTTCTGTGCCTCCCCAACTCACATTCTCTCTCTCTCTCTCTCTCAAATCAATCAATCAATCAATCAATCAATCAATCAATCAAAAGGTTTAAAAAGAGAATAATACGATGAAACTCTTTATCTACCACCAAGCAATAATAGCCTTCATCTCCTGGCCTCTCATTTCATCTACATCTCAATCACACTAAATTATTGTGCATTTTTTCAAGTTTATGTATTTTTTTGAGAGAGACAGAGAGAGAGCAAGCTGGGGAGGATCAGAGAGACAGGGAGAGAGAGAATTCCAAGAAGGCTCTGTGCTGTCAGTACAGAGCCTGATGTGGGGCTCGAACTCAAAAATCAGGAGATCGTGACCTGAGCTGAAATCAAGAGATGCTTAACCAACTGAGCCACCCAGAAGCCCCTCAAACTGCATTATTTTGAAGTAAATTTTGAACAACTTAATTTCATTTGTATTTTATGTATCTCTAAATGATGAGAACACTTTAAATAATATAATTCCATACTCAAACCTAAAATTAATATAATCACATAACATTTTCAATGTTCACTTTTAGTCAGTTGTCTCATAATAGTTATTTTCTCCCTCTGATTTGTTCTAAACATCATACATTATATTTGATTGAAACATCTCTTGAAATTTCAGTGTGTTATATTGCATTATTTTCTTAAATTCAGTTTCTAAGAATATGGAATCATCTGTCCTATAGAGTTTGTAGACTATAGATTGTATCCCTGTGCTGTAATGTAAAATCTGTGACCCTCATTTATATTTTCTCAAAATTAATAGCTTTATGTTAATCAGAGATTCTCAGATTGTTCTGATCTCAGGATACTTTTGCATTCTAAACATTATTGAGGATTCCAAAGAATTTCTATTCATGTGAGTAACTGATATTTATATACCACATATTAAAACAAAGATTTTAAAAATATTTATTTACTAACTTGTTTTTATCATATTTGAAAAAATGTCAAAAACATGCCCATATGCATATAACTGAAGTTTTTCTGTCAGTCCATTTTTGAAGAATTGTGTTCCATGAAAACGTGGAGTTAAACTCCTTGTTATAAATGCTTTTCTTTAAGACAACCATTATACTTTAGCATGCAAATTCCCATTTAGTCGTAAAAAATATTAAGAGCAATGTATTCAAGGGTTGCAATTACTAAAGTTAATTGTCTTTATTGTTTTATCACATTCCTCAAAAATAGTTTTTTTTTCCTCAAAAATAGTTTTAAGTGAAATATCTGTTTTGTTTCTTGCAAATGCCTGGAAATGAAGGATACCGGTTGATGCCATTGCCTTGATCAATGCTACGTCACTGAAACTTTTATCCACCATTGCCTTTGCTCCATCAATGCAAATGTTAGCACAGTAAAAAAGGCAAATACCCTTTTAGTATTGTTATAAAAATTACAGCTTCACAGTCCCCCCGAAAGGGTCTTGAAGACACCCATAGGTCTGCAATTCACAATTGAAATGCTATTCTAATGTATCAGATTGCCTGCTCAGAACTAAACTGAGGAACTATTTCCCACACTTCCTACAGAGATGGCTGTAGGAAGTCTATCTGCTGTTCCTTATGAACCTGGCTTGCCTTCTGACTTACACTATAGCTCCATGCTTCCTTCACACCTTGCTGTAATATTGAGGCAGCAACTCTGAACCATTGTTCCTGCTCTAGGTTTCAATTCTTTCTTTACCCTCAACCAATACTAGGCAGTCATCAGCACTTCCAATTCTTATACCCACCGATTTATACTTACTAACTCATGCAGGACAAAGTTTAAAGAAAATCATATATATGCTTACAGGAATGAATTCTTGACAGATTGACCAAAAATACACTCTTGACATTTTTGTTAACTATCCAGTGCTACTATATTTTCTAAACTATGTACATCAGTATTTCTACCTAAGGGCTGCCGTCCTTGCTTTAAGTTTTTCAGAACCAAGTATCTGGCAAAGGGCAGGGGACGTTCAACCTTCACCTGTTCCTGGGGAAAGTGCTGGCCTGTTAACGGGAAAGAGGCAACATCTGTGGCAATTCCCAGCCTTTGCCAGGAAGACTCTTCTCTCCACGGCAGTAATCTCCCAGAATACAGGCCAAGCCCTTCCCCATGACCCTTGTTCTGTTTCCACATTCCGGTTATTCATCTGAGTGCCCCTCCTTCAAAGTTTCTTATAAAAGCACAATCCTCTCTGACCTGACAAACCACTGCAAATCACTGCAGGAAAGGTGAGTGGAAGCTGACAGAAGATGAGATCTGTGGCGGGAGATATACTGTACATATTTGAGGGAAATACATGAGGATCTCTGTCAGATACAGGAGCTCTGAGACTCAGAACAGGCAGGCTTCAGAGGTCTCATGGGGTGGAGCATGTTCAGGTTTTCCAATTCCTTCCAGAGCTAAACAAAGGTATGGATGTCACTAAGGTCAACTTATTCCTAGGGCACTACCAAAGGAAAGACAAAGAAGATAAGTGGCATCTCTGCATGTCGTCTCTCTGATCACACTTCCCTTCGTGAAATCTGATTGCTTCCTCAGGTCACAGACATGATGCTGCCTCGCATGGACCTCCCCAGCATGTCCTGGATGCTGCTCTCCTGCCTGATGCTCCTGTCTCAGGTCCAAGGTGAGCTTTCTCTGTTTCTAACACTGGGTCCTTGCGAATGGTCAGGGCCAAGATGAGAAGGAAGACTCCCGTGGTACTGGCGACATATATCCCCACACCATGAAACTGCCTAAAACTCATCCATCACCACACCGTCCTTCTGGGTAACCAGGGGTGGCAGGCATCACGATGGTCCACCAGCACCGCAGTGAGGTCTTTTACGTGTTGTCAGTGCACTATCATTTATGTTGGTAAGCAAAAGAGGAAAGCACGCAGAGACAGAAATAAGATAAGGGGAAGGAAAATGAGGACCCAGTGCAAGAATGTTGAGCCTAGAGTGGGGAAGGGTTGGACTGTGAATGGGGAAGGTGCAAAGAAAAGAGAAGCTTCCTCATTTAGTGGGGCTGGTTCAAGAGCAAGAAATCCTGAAAGTGTTGGCAACGGTGGGAGGCAGTGAGGACGTTGGCATCACTTCCCCAAGCAGGCACCCCATAGATATTCCTCTAGGTCACCTCCCAGCCAGATCCCCAGTCGCCTATTCACTTCTTCCCGCTCTTTGGTGTCCTTCCACCCTAGGTGAAGACTCCCCGAAGGACGTGCACAGTCCACGGATCAGTTGTCCCAGGGGCTCCAAGGCCTATGCCTCCCACTGCTATGCCTTGTTTATGACACCAAAATCCTGGATGGATGCAGATGTGAGTACTTGGTTTATAGGTAGGGGTTTTGAGGGAAAGTGCATTAGAGACCTACGGAGGGTGGGTCCCATTTGCCAAATTTCCTTTTGCGGTGACAGTGAACATCCTCATCTTTTGCCTCTGTACTTCTTCTCCCCCACCTCTGCACTGCCCTTCCCCCAGCGATGTCTCAGGCTCCCCCTGAGTCTCTCCCTTCCCCACACAGATGGCCTGCCAGAAGAGGCCCTCGGGACACCTGGTGTCTGTGCTCAGTGGGGCTGAGGCATCCTTTGTGGCCTCCCTAGTACAGAACAGTGCGAACACCTACTCAAATGTCTGGATAGGGCTCCATGATCCTACAGAGGTATGAATACATCTCTATAACCTCTCAACCTGCTATTGTCACCCAAGCCCACTCCCAACCCCTGTGTCTGCCCAGTAAATGCCCTAGAGAGCCTTGGAGCTCAGAGATCCTGGTGGATATTAGTGGAAAAGGTGGGGGGGAGGGGACCTTGTGGCCAAGAGAACAGCTGAGTTCTGTGGAGGTCCCTTGTCTCTGGTGAGGTTAATCTGCTTCCTAATTTGCATGTGAGTCCATGTAATTCAGTTCTCTGAGCCTCACAGAGTCTGCACGTATTGTGCTGAGGGAATCCTAAATGAAGATAGGCTCTATTTTTGCTCTGTGGAACAGACATTGTCTCTGAGGCTCAGAGGCTAATCACACATGCACCCCTAACTGCTGTGCAGTCAGGAACAGGTTACTCTGAATGGGTCTATTGGTCTTTGTGTTTATGGGCTTCAGGATTTGTCAATAAGAGCAAGGAGTTAGGAAGCGTTTCCCAGAGGAGAGCTTTGGCTCTGAGGCAGCATCTAGATGAACAGACCAAATTCCATGATGCTGGGAAGGGGTTCCTGCAAGGAGCCCTTTAATGACTAGTCAACCTCACTAGACTCCTTCCTCTCTAGGGCTATGAGCCCAATGCAGGTGGATGGGAGTGGAGTAGCACGGATGTGCTGAACTACGTTGCCTGGGAGAGACACCCCTCCACCAACCCTAACCCCGGCTACTGTGGGAGTCTGTTAGCAAGCACGGGTAAGGAACAGAGGTGCTCCTTCCTGCCAGACTTCTCCATCTTCTTTTTCCCTATTTCTCAGTCTGACCTTCAGAGAATCCTCTTGAGCTAGAAAATGTAGTGTTGGTTTGTCTTCTCCCATCCTTTCTCATCTCTCCTTTCTTTGAGTCCCATTCCCCTGGAGTGGGACGCTGCTGAGGATGAGGGAGAGTCTTTGAATCCTAGGCCAGAATCTAGACTGCTTCTACCTTGGGTTCATGAGCTTCCACCAGTCACATCTACCTGAGCTCCTCTGTCTCTCTAGGATATCTGAAATGGAAAGATTTTAAGTGTGGTGCGATGCTTCCTTATATCTGCAAGTTCAAGGACTAGGAATGGTGGGACATCAGGAGCCTGAGTTTTGCGTGCAATTCATCATGGACCATTCATCCAAGTATGAAGATCTACCCTGGAAGGGAATAGTCCCCATACCCTCTAACCTGACCCCTTCCTTCTGACCATTTATCCTCCCTGTTCATTTAACTTTAAGTTTTTCTTTTTTTTTAACATGGCCTGAGATTGCAGAGTGCAATAATAAATACTTCATTCCATGTTGCGTGCTTTTGTTCTATTATCTCATGGCAAGAGTCTAAAGAACAATGGGTATGGGAGGAGTTCTAGGTCTTGACTCTGTCCAATGTTATCCATTCCCCCAGGAAAAATGCTTAAATGTACATCCCCACCAGTGTTCTTGTGATAGTATGTAGTCCCTCTTCATGTATGTGTTATTTATAGAAAAAGACATTACTCACCTACAGATTGTATTATACATTCCTCCTGTTTGTGATACTAACGGCCTTAGTGGCATCTGATGATCTTAGAAGAGCACATCTGAAATCATTTGCTATGAACGATAATTTTTTTCTTTAATTTGCAATCCACCTTGGACCCTGACTTTTATAAAATACAGTGGAAAATGAGTTACTTGGGTTCTGATTATAGTGCTTACATGTAGAGCATTGGAACTTGTCAATCTCTTCCTTAAAAGAGTTCTATTCTTAAACTAACCACCAGAAAAGAGTTTGAAATTGCCATAATTTACAGTGACCTATTGGAATTCATCTCCTAGGACTGGACTAAATGCCTTCCATACAAAATTAAATTGTTTAAAAAAATTTTTTAAACATTTTTACTTGTTTTTGAAAGAGAGAGACAGAGCATGAGCGAAGGAGGGGCAAATAGAGAGGGAGACAGAATTTGAAAGAGGATCTAGGCTCTGAGCTGTCAGCACAGAGACTGGCACAGGGCTTGAATCCACAAGCTGTGAGATCACGACCTGAGTCAAAGTTGGACTCTTAACCAACTGAGCCATCCAGGCACCCCTGATTTTTTTTTTTTTTAGCGTGTTTTTAACCTGAAGGAGAGAGACACAGAGTGTGAGTCAGGAAGGGGCAGCGGGGGGGAGGGGGGAGACAGAATCCCAAGGAGGCTTCAGGCTCCGAACTCTGAGCTGTCAGCACAGAGCCTGATGTGGGCTCCAACTCATGAACTGTAAGATCATGACCAGAGCCTAAGTCAGAAGCTTAATGGATGGAGCCACCCAGGTGCCCCCAAAATCAGATTTTTTAATAGAATTTAAAAATAATGTCTTTTGTCAAGTCAATCAATATTTCCTACTACACCTAGAGCTATGCTTGAATTCCTAAGATACTGATCATAGAGGCTTTTTTTGCTAAATTCATAGTTGGTATTCATAACCATTTGTACCCTGAATCATCATAAATTTATTTCCTCTGGTGAACTCATGAACTTTTCTGTCTAGAAGTCTAGAACAGAGGAAGGCAGGCAGTTTTTATCTCTTCTCCCTCTGTATCCATTCTCTCCCACTGAACCCTCCATAATATAATGGCCTTGGGCAGTCCCAACAGTTGATAAAAATGCTTCTCTCTCCTAATAATAATAGTAATAATACATAGTAATAATCCCTTATTTTCTTTTACTAAAAGTTACTCATCCTCAGTTTTAAGGGAAGAAAGTGTAGGTTCTCCAGTTTGTGTCAGAGCCCCTGATGCCTAACATTTAGAAAAAAAAAAACTTTTCATTTTATCCAGTATCTGAATTCCCCATTTTTCTTCTCTCAGAGTCTAGCTGGGTTGCTGACAGCTTGTTAGTGCCTTGCATGAGACACACATAGGCTTCTGTTAGGCTGACTCAGTTTAGACTATTTGGATATAAGCTGCTGACATGCATTCTAACTCAGTCAGGCAAAAGAGGAAGTTTTTGGAAGTATGTGGTTTTATCTCAGTGCACCAAGATTAGGGAAGATAGCTGAAGGACTAGGAAACGGAAAAATAAAGTCAGGAAATGAGGTTAATCTCCTCTTCCTTTTCTCTTTTTTATTTCACTAGGTGTGATTTCTTTTAGCCAATCAGTTTCCTTGCCCTTGGGAATAACTCAAGGTGACATAGATAACTCATTCTACCAAACTTTTCACTCCAGGGATTCAAAACTTTAAGTACATTTTCAGTAAACAAATTTATTTTCAGGAGAATATCTGATTATTCCAGCTAAGACTGGGTGTTCACCTTCTAGATGCTGGCGAGGATGTGGAGAAACGGGCACCCTCCTGCACTGTTGGTGGGAATGTAAACTAGTACAGCCCCTCTGGAAAACAGTGTGGAGGTTCCTCAGGAAACTAACAATAGAACTCCCCTATGACCCAGCAATAGCACTGCTAGGAATTTACCCAAGGGATACAGGAGTGCTGATGCATAGGAGCACATGTACCCCAATGTTCATAGCAGCACTCTCCACAATAGCTAAAACATAGAAAGAGCCTAAGTGTCCATCCACGGACGAATGGATCAAGAAGATGTGGTTTATCTATACCATGGAATACTCCATGGCAATGAGAAACAATGAAATCTGGCCATGTGTAGCTACATGGATGGACCTTGAGGGTGCTATGCTGAGTGAAATAAGTCAGGCAGAGAAGGACAAATATCATATGTGTGCACGTATAGGAGGATTAGGAGGAACTTGACAGAGGAACAAGGAGGAGAAGAAGGG